CAGCTGTCTATGACGCAGATAACACTTTTATGTACCTCAGAAATTGGCTAATTACGTCTATCCTCGTTCGTCGCCAATCTTCGAGCGATGTCTTTAGCAAACATTAGCAACTCCTCCATCCGCTTTCGTTAAAACTTTGAACCCCCCCCCCCCCCCAAAAAAAAAAAAGAACCTCAACAAATAAAAACAGACAAATATACCAACACAAACAAAACAAAGGAAAAACACGAAAAAGCCAAAAAAAAAAAAAACAAACAAATCCCAACCCAACAACAAACAAATACTCTAAAAATAAGCCACATCCGGCGCCACGGCGGAAGGTGCGTTCAAGTAAAACTCCAACGACATAAAACGATGATACAAGTGAATGAAAAGTGCCGATTTTAACGTAGCCATGTTGTTTACAGGGGCCATCGGAGTGCTGGGATGGCAGCACGGAGATATCGCTGGCAGAAATAGGAGAGCGTTTCGCAGCGGGAGGCACAACAATGCGTATCAGAGGCAGATAGCCCAAATACTGATCAACTCTGGAAACACGCACGAAAGATAAAACGAAATAATTTTCTCGTCCGTAAGGTCACTCCTCCCGCGGGACTTGAGGTTACAGGCAACTATCTGTACTAGAGATTCTTTAGTATCGGGTTTTCCTACAGTTTGTAACATAACATCCACACCATAGGTCCACAAACCATGGGCATTTCCAAATCAGCGCGACGTACAAAAATTGAGGGGTTTGGGTACGTTGAAGACGATCACAAGTAAAGACAGGACAAACAAGCAAACATGTAAATTTGCTCAAAAGCAACTTATTATAAAACTGTGAATGACCCAACATCCACGCACTTGTATCAGTTCACATTCTAATAATATTATGCACAAACAAATACTGGATCTAACCAACCGAGCAAGCGGTTTGTTTGTGTAAAACAATTACATAGCAATGCAGAAAAACAAATGTGATTTTACTGTAGTAGCGTGATCCCACAATTGCAGGAATTGAGAGAATACATTTCCCATACCACTGAACAAAGCCCTGGAACCCAGCTGGGGTAGGAAATAATTGTGTTTGTTTTCGCAAAACATTTGTGCAATTTCTTAAAATACGACTTTTACCAATATCCGTCTGTTTGTTTGAGCAAAGAGAAGCACATCGACACAATAATGGTCAATTAGTGCCGGGGAAAGGAAAGACAGGTAAAAACAACTGAGGGAAAAGTAAAGAAGTAGGACCTACCAGTGGCGCACTCCAACCACCCACTCAATATCCTATGTCTTTAGAGAAATAAATGGACAATGAGATTGATATGTGGCTGTACCAAACGGAAATGGTGATCTTGAAGCACTGTTGTTGTTTTTTTTAAAGCAATCC